AAAAAAAAAAAAAAGAGAAAGAAAAAGCACCGAAACCTCCCAAAACCCCAAAAAAAAAAAAAAGGCCGCTCTGAGCCCGAGATGAGGCTCGGAGCTGCAAAAAAAAAAAAAAATCGGTTGTGGCCGAGCAGAGAGGTGCCGGAGCGCCGAGGAGCGGGCATCGCTCTGCCCAGGGCGGTACCTACTGGTGCAACTGGGAAGGGACCGCACTCACAGCGGATTTTTTTCTGCCGTCAACCGCATTTTAAATAAAACACCGATGGCCTCAGGCAGGGCTGCCCCGTCCTGCCCGGTTCTGCCGGAGACAACAACTTTCCTCCCTCCCGCCCCGTCGGGGGTTTGCTGTTGGTCTCCCAGGCTGGAGAGGGACAGGCTCACGCAGGATTCCCACCTTCCTGGCTGCTGTCTCCTCGAGTGTTTATTTAGGGGCTTTTCCCGTGGATAGAGCCTTCGCCGCGGAGATAGGAAAATGTCCACACCCGGGTGCGTGAAGCTGCGTCACTTTAAAGCGATGTCGCTGGTTATTTCTCAAATACTCGATTTCTTCTGTCCGCCACCTTCCCGGCCAGTCAGCTGCAGTTTGTCCCTCTTCCAAAGCCGCCCTTGGCCGGCAGCTTGGAGGCGACCAAGGAGGGGAGAGCCCCCCTGGGGAAGCGCGGCTGCCAGCTGTCGGGCAGCGGCGCAGGCAGGGCCCCCAGCACCTCCTGCCCTCGGCCCTGCAGCTCGGGGCCGGCTGCGATCGGGCCAGCGGAACAAAAGAACTTTAGAGGAGGACGAGCCCAGGAACAAAATCAGCATCAGCAGCCGCGGTCCCGGCCTGCCCGTGCCGAGGGACACTCCCTGCCGCTGCTGAGGGTTCCTGCTGCTGCTCTGCCCTGTCTCCCTCCCAGCACAGACTGGGGAGCAGGTCGGTTTTGCAGTGCCCACGGTCCACAAGGCTGGGCCAAGCGTCCCTTTGGACTGGAGCCGAGCAATGGATGTGCAGGAGATGGTCCCGGTGAGAAATGGTGCCGAGACCCCGATGGGGTTTGGCAGCTCCTCGCAGTGTTTGCGTTGGTTCCTGGGCTCTGGCAGCCTCCCTCTTCAACCAGGAGAGGACATTTGGGTTGGAAATTTGCACTGGGATCAGAACCAGCGCTGAGGTTTTACTGGGGACCGGGAATGGGACTGGAAAAGGCAGTAGGGCTGGGAGTGGGATTAGAATCAGGATTTGGATCAGTCATGCAGGGACAGGTTTGGGCTGGTGAGGCTTGCTCTTGAATAAAGAACCTGCCTTCGAATAAGCACAAGGAAGTCCTCAGATTAGACCAACTTCCTGATGATGTACAAGATTTTGGGGAGTATTTGATTGTGGGGTACAACCCTCCTCCCAGAGCAGGTTTTGCATTGTGCCATGCCCAGCCCAGGCCCTGGGGACAGATATGTCACCCCTAGGCCGCACTTGGGGCTCCCAGCAGCTACAGATGCACTGCTACTCATGTTCTAATGACACTAAAGTTATGATTACTATTATTATTATTAATGTTATTGTTTTATTAAGTTGTTTCAGAGCTTCACTCCCCAAGGCAGAAATGTGCCCCATTCTGCCCATATGTGGTGTCCATCCTACATCACCAGACCCCGGGCAGGTGGGGTTCCAGTGATTTTTCTGTGGCTCTCAGCACAGACAGGAAATCCTGTGCACAGACCACAGAGCAGTGCACACTTGTCTCTCTGTGTGCCTGCTCTTAAATCCCGATTTCCAGATTGTTCCTGTTCACAAATAATCAGCCAAGAGGAGATCCCTGTTGCCAACTGCATTCACAGTCACCTCCTCACAAGCCTCAGCCACAATCCAGGGGTGGATTTAGGACTGTGACAGCTTTGGGAGTTGCTGTTCATCCCACCCCGCCGGGTGCTGCTGATGGACAGGGCTGGGCTCTCCTGGTTCCTGTCACCCGTGCAGGTTTGGCCCTGGAGCCAAGGGACAGGGCTGATCCAGGTGTTCCCAGGTGTTCCCAGGTGTTCCCAGGTGGTCCCAGGTGGTCCCAGGTGGTCCCAGGTGGTCCCAGGTGGCTGCAGGACCCCTTCACAGCCGGGCCAGGGGCTGCTGAGCTCTGATGGTGACAGAGCAAGGGTTCATCCAGAAATGCCTGCTGGCGGTGCAGAGCCCCGAGTCCTGCGGGTCTGGCTGGGGGAGGGCTCCCCGCGGGCTCTGCTGCACCGAGCCCCCCGGGATGCCGGCTGGGGGCCCAACGGGCCGGGCCCAGCGGGCACAGCGGGGGCTCCGCTGGGGTGCTCCGGTACCCGAGCGCATCGCCAGGAGAGAGCAGGGCTCGGGGTGGGGGAAAGCGGCAGCAAGGCGGGGACAGCAGGAGGGGACAGCAGGAGGGGACAGCAAGGAGGGGACAGCACGGAGGGGAAAACCAGGCTGGGACAGGTAGGAGGGGACAGGCAGAAGGGGACGGGCAGGAGGGGACACCAGGTGGGCGGGGACAATCAGGAGGGGACAGGCAGTAGGGAATAGCCAGGAGAGGACAGCAAGGAGGGAATAGCCAGGAGAGGACAACCAGGAGGGGACAGGCAAGAGGGGACAGGCAGGAGGAGACAGGCACGAGGGAATAGCCAGGAGGGGACAGGCAAGAGGGGACAGGCACGAGGGGACAGGCA